AGAATTTCGTCCTCGAAATTTCTCACCTGAATCACTAAACAGTTCGGGGTATTTGGTTTTCATCTCACTCTCCATCTCCCAGGTTGCTTCCTCAACTCCGTGGTTTTTCCACAGAATTTTCACCAGTGGAATTTGTTTATTCCTTAACTCCTTAACTTTTCTATCGAGCACTTGCACAGGTTTTTCTTCGTAGGTGAGGGCCTCGTCAATTTCAATCTCTTCCGGCTGAACAATGTGAGCTGGATCGGGGTAATATCTCTTGAGCATAGACACATGAAATACGTCGTGAATCCGTGACAGGCTCGATGGCAACTCAAGCCGGTAAGCTACTTTTCCAACCCGCTGAAGGATCGGAAAAGGGCCTACGAATCGGGGTTGGAGTTTCTTTCCTTTTCCAGCAGTAAGACTCCGTAATGGTGTAATCTTCAAGAATACCTGGTCTCCTACTTCAAACTCCAGATCCTTCCTTCGATTATCGGCATAGCTCTTCTGGCGACTCTGGGCTGTCTGAAGTCTTTGCCGGATTAACTTGACCTTTTCTTGAGCATCCTCTATCCAAGGAATAATGGTAGGGTCTAAGATCCTTCTCTCTCCAACTTCATCCCAATAAATTGGTGAACGACACTTTCGCCCATAAAGGGCTTTGTACGGCGCCATTTGGATTGATGAATGGTAGCTGTTATTATAGGTGAATTCCACTAAAGTCATGTGTTGTCCCCAATTGCCCCCGAAATCTTGGATACACGTGCGTAACATATCTTCGAGGGTCTGAATCGTTCGCTCCGACTGTCCATCCGTCTGAGGATGATAAGTAGTACTCAGATTCAGCTTCGTCCCCAAGGTCTCCTGAAACTTTTGCCAGAATCTCGACACGAAACGAGGGTCTCGGTCAGAAACGATACTCACGGGCACTCCATGTAATCGTACAATCTCCTCCAGATATACCTGGGCTAACTTATCCATGGAATACTTCATATTCACAGGTAGGAAATGAGCCGACTTGGTCAATCGATCAACGATCACCCATACGGCATCATGTCCTCTTTGAGTCCTAGGTAATCCAGAAACGAAGTCCATAGTAATATGTTCCCATTTCCATTCAGGAATTTCCAAAGGTTGTAGCAATCCCGAAGGCTTCTGATGTTCTGCCTTAACTTGCTGACACACTAGGCAGGTTTGCACGTACTGAGCTATCTCTCTCTTCATCTTGTCCCACCAGTACAATTGCCGCAAGTCACGATACATCTTGTTACTTCCTGGATGGATTGTATACTTTGATCGATGAGCTTCCTCCAAAATTTCCCTTCTCAAATCTCTATCATCAGGTACTACGATTCGATTTCTAAATCTTAAAATCCCTTCAGAGCTCAAATTAAAATCGGAAATTTCCCCTTTCTTCACCTTGTTCATCCAATTTTTAACCGTCGGATCTTTAATTTGAGCTTCCTTGATCTTTTTTAAAAACACAGACGTCACTTGGATGTTCCCAAAGATTACCCGATTAGGCTCCAGCTTTGGATTCCATTCTCCTACAGCTCCCAATAATTCCCATTCTTTCACCATCAATCCAGAAATCTGAGCCTTTCGACTTAAGGCATCGGCTACCACATTGGCCTTACCAGGATGGTAATTAATCGTATAATCGTAATCCTCCAAGAATTCCATCCAACGGCGTTGTCTCATGTTCAACTCTTTTTGGAAAAAGAGGTATTTAAGGCTCTTATGATCGGAATAAACTTCAAAAGTCACTCCGTACAGATAGTGTCTCCACTTTTTCAGAGCGAAGACAACTACGGCCAATTCTAGGTCATGGATGGGATAGTTTTGTTCATGAATTTTCAATTTCCGGGAAGCATAAGCTATCACATTTCGGTGTTTCATTAGTACACATCCCAATCCTTCTTTGGAGGCGTCGGTGTAAACGGTGAAACCGTCTGGACCGTTAGGTAAGGCTAAAATAGGGGCCATTGTCAATCTCCGTTTCAGCTCTTGAAAGCTAGCTTCACACCTATCGCTCCACAAAAATCGACCACCCTTCTTTGTTAGATCGGTCAAGGGACTGGCAAGTTTCGAAAAATCCTTAATAAACCGTCGGTAATAACCTGCCAACCCTAGAAAACTTCGAATCTCAGTAGGGTTCTCGGGTCGCTTCCACTTAGTCACGGCCTCCACCTTAGCCGGATCTACCGCAATTCCCTCCTTTGATATCACGTGCCCCAGAAAAGACACTTTGTCTAGCCAAAATTCACATTTGCTAAATTTGGCATACAACTGGTGCTCCCTCAGGGTTTGTAGGACCTCTCTCAAATGTTGTTCATGCTCCTCACGGGTTTTTGAGTAAACCAATATGTCATCGATGAAAACAACAACAAATCGGTCAAGAAAGGGCTTGAAAATTCGGTGCATAAGGTCCATGAAAGCAGCAGGAGCATTGGTCAATCCAAAAGGCATCACAGCAAATTCGAAATGCCCATACCGGGAATTGAAAGCAGTTTTAGGCACATCCTCCTTTTTAATCAACAACTGGTAATACCCCTGTCGAAGGTCTAATTTTGAGAATACCACCGCACCTTGCAATTGATCAAATAACTCGTCGATATGGGGAAGTGGGTACTTGTTCTTAATCGTCACATTGTTTAACCCTCGGTAGTCAATACAGAGTCTCAAAGTCCCGTCCTTCTTCTTGACAAAGAGAACGGGCGCCCCCCAAGGCGAACCGCTCTCGTGAATAAACCCCCGCTCTAAAAGGTCTTGTAACTGTAGTTTTAGCTCTTTGAGTTCCGCGGGTGCCATTCGGTAAGGGGTTTTAGAAATAGGGGAAGCCCCTGGACAAAGGTTCACTTCGAACACCACTTCTCTCTCTGGAGGCAAGTTCACTAACTCGTCAGGAAAAACATCAGGGTACTCACTCACTATCGGAACATCTTCTATTTTCAGTTTGTCGGCAGGAGTGTTAATAAGAAAAGCTAGGAACCCTTGTGCCCCTCTATTTAATAATTTCCTAGCTCGAATACCCGAAATCATAGCGGATGAGGCTAGACTACCCCTCACATCTAACCTCAAAGTTGCCTCCCCAGGAATGCGAAATTCGACAGTTTTTCTCTTACAATCCAGCTGAGCATCGTATCGAGCCAGCCAATCCATGCCTAATATCACATCATATCCCTTTATGGCTAAACTTATCAAATTTCCCAATAACTTCCGTTCACCTACCCAGATTTCACAATTCGTATATATTTCACTAGAAATCAAGCTTTGGTCCCCCGTAGGTGTACTAACTTCCAACTCATAAGGGAGAGTAACAGGATTTATATCAATTCCACACATAAATTCGGGGTTAACAAAAGAATGGGTAGCTCCAGGATCTATCAAAATTCTAGCTAGGCGGTGGAAGACAGGAATCGTACCTTCCACTACCTCTGCAGAGTCAGGAACTGGCCGTTGTTCAATGGAGTACACCCGTGCAGGTACCTTTGGTTTGGTACTATCTACCCTCGATTGACTTGAGGTAGCCTTAGATGTCGCCGGGGTAGTTCCTCTCGTCTCGCGTGCCTGGACCGGACAGTTGGCGAACCGGTGCTCCGCACTTCCGCACCGCAAACACTTATTCTGCTTCCTCCAGCAATCGTCCTCCATATGATTGGGTTTTCCACAAAAGTTACACGGCCCACGTGCAACAGTAGCTGAACTCCCTTGTGCGGTGCTCCTCGGCGGCCCTCGCCCCGGTTGGCTTCCTCGAGAAGGAGCCCCTCGAGCCGGACTCGTAAATCGTCCCCCTCCAGCTCCCCGTCCAAACTTAGGAAGGGAAGGGGTACTCTTGTCACCTTGAGTTGAGATACTTCCAGCAGCTCCACGCTTTCGATTTTGGAAGTTCCTCACCTGGAGCCTAGCGTTCTCGGATCGTAATGCCTTCTCAACGGCATCACTAAAAGTAGTGATCTGGGCAACGGCCAAATCCTTCTGGATTTCCACATTAAGCCCCTGAAGAAAACGCCTAGCCCTCCTTTGTTCGGTTAAAATGAGCTCAGGAGCAAATTTGGATAAACGTGTGAATTGGCTCTCATATTCGGCTACCGATTGCGTTCCTTGGCGTAGACGAATAAATTCGTCCTCTTTCTTCTCTTGAACCAGCGGCGGAAAGTACTTGGCATTGAATTCCCGTACAAAATTCATCCAGGTCCTTAGTGTCTGTTCTCGCTCCCACTTCCTCCGGATAATATTCCACCATGAGCGAGCGGCACCTTCAAGTTGAAAAACCGCAAAGGTCACTTGCCTCTCTTCCGAGTAATGTAGAGCGGCAAAAATATCTATCATCTTTTCTAACCATTGTTCGGCCACATCAGGATCGGGCCCTCCAAGAAATTTAGGCGGTGAAAATTTTTGGAATCGTTCGAGAGCTCGATCTTCGCTCTCGACATGATTTCCGGGGTTTCCAGGATTGCCAACTGGTGGATTAGGGTTGGGGCCCTGTTGTTGTACCACCTGGGCTAAAAGATCGGTCATCCGCTGGATAGCAGCGGCTACCTGCACATTGGGATCGATTTGGGGTTCAGGGGTTGGTTCGGGCACTGTAGCTCCCGTACCCTGTTCAGTTGTGGGATGTCTACCCCCACGTCCACGCCCCCGGCCACTACGCGTGCCTTCCATCGCTCTAGATCAATCTATAATCAAAATATACCCATGAATATAACTTTAATGCTAAAGGGCACACATCCCTGTACTTAACAAGAAATATGGCCACAAAATCAAACAATCACTTCATAACACACTTAAACACATAACACATAGTCATAGCATTCATAACAAGATCAACCATTTACACCAAAGTAGTCAGTCAGGTACAAACAAGAAGCGTCTTACGGAAAGGACAATACAAAAGTAATATATACAAAACCGGTCCTATATACAACACGACTAGCTAAGAGTCCTTCCCGGCCTACCATTCCGTGTCCTATATATATACAAGTCAAAATCATCCAAAATGGCTTAAAAGCCATTCCCTAACCTACTGTGGGACTAGAGGACCTATTCGCTTGGGAGGGTTCACTTCCAACCCCACCTCCTACACTAGAACTCTCGACACTCTCATCCCCTAGTAGGTCTTCACACAAATTTAACATTGTTCCGGCGTTCTCCCTCAGTTGTCTCGCCCTCTTGGTCATACGTTTGCGCATCTCCCCAAGTTGCGTACACAAATCATCCACCCTATCTTGACCTTCGCTCAGGTCATACTCCAACTCCTTAATACGCTCCGCTTGCCTCTTGTTGGCCTCTCTTAATTGTTTCACTTCGGCTTCAATCTTAGCATAATCCTTGGCCAACTCTTTTCGTTCTTTGTCCACCGCAAATACAAGAGTATTGGGGTAGGCAAACTTGTGACGGCACTCACAACGTCGAAATCGACTTGCCGGACTCCAACGTAGAGTCGCCCCTCTCGGGCGGATTTGGTACTTGATCATAGGAAGTACTCCACGGCCTTGCTTCGCGATCGATCGCACACGAGAGCCACTAGGCACGTCCATCCTACACAAAAGTATCATTAATCTCCAACACCTAAAAAAAAACAAGCAAATACAACTCCAAGATCAAGACATTCCAAACATGCCCAGGTTAAGCCAAACCTAGGCTCTGATACCACTTGTGACGACCCCATCTTCCCCTAGGGCGAACCGGAGGGGTTGACGGACCGCCTGCCCAGCTCTCGCCGGGACTACGGGTCGCAAAACAATCACGTCGGATTTAATTCATAAAAGAAAACTCGACAAAATGAACAATTTCCCCCTTAAGGTGTTATTAGAACAATAATATCATTGTACAAGAAAGTACAGTGCTCGAGCACTTCCATCGGACCAGAAAACGGAAAACGAAAATTTTGCCGCGGATGAACAGTGACCGGCCACGTCACTATCCGGCCAAAATCTGGCCGGATATCCGGCCGGATTCTCGGCCGGATAGGAGGCCGAGGCTAAACCAAAAATTTCGAAATGTCCCCTGCCAATCCGGCCAACAATCCGGCCGGAAGTTGGCCGGATTGCTCTGGCCGGATTCTGGGCAGTAGCCAGAGTCCAATTTTTTTCTTTTTTTTTTCTTTTCCCCTGCCTATCCGGCCTTATATCCGGCCAGAAACTGGCCGGATTCTAGGCCGGATTCCAGGCAGTGGTTTTCCAAAATTTCCTGCTTTCATTTTTAAAACCGGCGATTGTACACATACACCATATAACGAATCCAAGACTTGGTAAACCATACATACATGTCATCTATACATGAGAAAGTGTCCTTATACAATTCAAACACAAATACTTGAGTTCAAATACATCAAAGTTCCAAATGTTCGAGGAGCTTCCAAAACTAACTATGTCACTAGCTCATCTCATATCAAAATGTGGTTCAACATCACTCCTGTAAGGAAAACAAAACAACGGGGGTGAGCTTACGCTCGTGAGGTACCAAATGCACAATTTCATGATACAACTATTAACACATATACATAACCACCTTCATACAACATACACATATAAAAGGATACATGCGACCCTCAAGGGCCGATTTCCGATTGCCATACTTGATCTCACACGTTGACACTCCGTCAACCATTTAAACAAGCCAAGATCCGTAGACACCACTTCGCACCATTTCCTTCCACCGTTCACCCCCTATTCGGGCCCGCCGCCTCATAGTTCCAAATGGGTAATACTCGAGTATACCACAAGGTCGAGGAGTTAACACTCCACTCGCCTATCAAGAACCCAAAGGCTCATTAACGAATCGCCCAAGCCCTTGCCGGCTCGACTCGAATAACGGTCTAAGGGCATGAGCTCAATTTCACCTTAATATTAAGGCATTGCCCCATCAAATGTCAAGCATGTATATATACCATTTCACATCCAAACAATAACGGTAAATGCAAGTAAGTGGTCAAGAGCGATCAAGTACACTCTCGACCCAAATCAAGACATTTAGAAACCACAAACAAGTATGTTCATCATATACTGGTACACTCACCAAATAAACAAGCAAATCACACGTTCGAGTCAGGAGTAGGTCCCGGTCCACCGGTACGACCTAAAACAAGCAAGTAACCATATATAAGACTCAAACACGAGTCAAAGTATAACTTTAACTTACTAATACAAGTTACACAAAACAAATAAAATGGAGTAACAACAGTGTGGAATGTGAACAAACTCCCCAATTCATCCATTCTATTCAAATCCTTCTCAATTCAAGACCTCCCATATCTACAACCAATTGGGCAGCATTTCCCCTTAATTTCTTCACATTTCCAACCTAATGAACAACACCCAACTTGTACCATTACACTTATGGTTCTTAAACTAGTCCATTCACCCCATTTGAATCACAATACAACCATATACACATCAATTGATAGTATGAAAACCATACATGGAAAAGCCCCAATTTCATCAAACCCTAAAACCGGAATTTTCTCACAAATGCTGAAATTTTCCACAATTAACCACCATTAACACATATAAGCTCTAAATCAAGCCATATAAAGCCTTCACACCCAACTCAACCATGATATATCATATAAAACAGAAAATTCCTAAATAAATAGAAAATTGCCACATCTCAAGTATAAGTCATGAAATACTCCATAAAATAGCCTCTTGAACTACTGTCACCCATAACTTTCATCTTACAACCAACAAGGAAACAATTCCATATTTACTCACCTTACAATTCTTGATACAAGGTAGATGAGAGCCTTTCCTTTCAAACAAAAACCACCAAGCACTTCAAACACTCCTAGCAAGAGGGTTTTATGGAGGATTTTGAGAGATTAGTGGTTGGATTCCATGATTTGACAAAGAAATGAAGCAAGAGTTGAAGAGCTTTCTTCCTTCTTTTCTCTCTAGTTGGCCGGCCAAGAGGTAAGAAATAATGAGGAATTTTGGTCAAAATTTTAATTTAGTAAAGGTGTAGACAAGTCAAAAGTCCAAGGTCCAATAGGATTGCAACATGTGTTTTTTCCAAGCTTGTCTCATTCTTGTCTTACAACACTTAATTAAACCAACTAACCTCCAATTAACTCATAACACAAGATGATAAAACTTCCGTATATAAAATTTCCCAAAGCTACATTTAACTGTACCGATCGTCTTAGTGGGTCCCGCAACCGCTGTACACCCTTAACAACACAGAATTTGACCTAAACCCAGAAAATGATGCAAAATTCATATTTTCTCATAAAATTCCCCAGAAAACCCACGGATAGAAGAAAACCCTAAAATTAGGCCCAAACGCCCAAAATAAATGCCTGAAAAATATGAAAATTTTCGGGGTCTCACATAAGACATCTCTGACGGAGTTATGTTTGGAAAAAATAAAAAGTCTGGGATGCATCCATTCTGTAGGGACACTTGCAAGAGGCTCCTGATTAGCCAAACGGTGGACCTTCGAATAATAAAAATAATATATTATTAAAGCGAGCATACGTTAACTACATAATTTGCATAATTCGACAGCGTTCGGGTGCCCACCATTACAATTAAAGAAAAAATGTAGCTCTATTACACGAACAAGAAGGTCTTTATTTTAACTACTAAATATATGTATACCGTTTCACTTTCATTGATATCGGGAGCAACAACGTTTGGAGGGCCATTCACCGTCTGACTCGTTGAATGCGTCTACGAGTTTCGTATGGGCCAAATCATTGTATAAGACAAACAAAATAGGTATATCAGGAGGGATGACGGCTGTAACAATATTATCACACAATGTAACATCAATGTAACTATTTATGCTATTAGAAACATCCAAATAAAAGCAAAAGTCATGTCCATTTTATACTAACCGAAACAGAATCAGTACATGAACGACATCCCATAAACATGTATTCTGCAAATGAAACCGATGTCGGCTCCGATTCTGAGACCTACAGTATTGACACAGCAATAATATTATTTCATAATGAATGGTACCTAAACTTTAGTTAATAGTATAACGATAACTTAGTTTTAGCATAAATGTTCCTTAAGTACCAAAATTCGATCCATACCGTAGTCTGTGTAGTCCTTGATAATCTAGATTTTCTTTTTATTCTATCAAATTTATTGACCCAACTTCGCATCACTCTACTTTTCTTTCCACCACCTCATTTTTTAATACCTCTTACGACTACTGCCTCTTCCATTTCATTTACGATTTCAATTTTATCCCGTTCCTCCATATTCAGATTTTTTTCATTTTGCAAAGGTTGCTCTTCGCTTTCTGAGAGGAGGAGCTCAATTCTCTTTGCCAAATCGGATATGACAGTGATTGCTACTTTGCTGGTATCCTCCGACATTGCTGCTCGAGTTGCAACCTTAATCATGGTTGGGGCGAACTCCCGATAACGAGTTGAAATCATTATTTTAGGATCAGCCACAACTTCCCATCCTTGCCGATCAAAACAGTCTCCAACCCGAGCTCTTTTTGTCCATCGCTTCTTAACGTATTCAGGAGGAATTATTTTTATACCCACGGTATCAAACACCTTCAATGCATGCCCATATAAAATGCCTTCATTCTCGTATTTTTTGCAACTACAACGCATACTTAGATCATTCCGATTGAATACCACTATTCTTTCAGGTCCTCCATCATACCTCATGACCGTAAACTCCATAAACATCGCTGCATCTTGTTGTCTCAATATAATCATAGCTGTTGACTCGCCATATTTATTTTGGAATGTAACAAATATGGTTGGTGAATACGTCTCTGATGCATGCACAAACATAGGTGTTTGCCTTAACCCTACCATGGGCAGCTTTTGCCTCATTTCATATTCTGCGATCAGTTCATTATGTCTCTTTTCATCAACCACCCGATTGAAATGTCTAAAGAACTGCACAAGGTCATGATCCAGTTTCAAATGATTTTTAATTGCTGCATTTAGACTTTCGCTAAGTTAGGTGCTTCGCATTCCTGCGGTACATCTTTTTTTCATCATGCACCTTGTCCATTTATCACGAATTCTATATAATCTGGAGAGCCATTCATTATTTTCAAGATTGTGTTTCTTCATCATCGCCTCCCATACCCTATTGAATTGTTCCACTTCTTCAAACTCATAGATACAGGCACCAAATATGTATAGAAGATCACTATTTTCCTTGCAGTGATTGCCAAGATGTTTCATAAAATTACGCCTTATGTGAAACGTACATAGACTGTGAAATGTTTCAGGCATGACAACTGAAAGAGCGGCTGCCATGGCGTGATCTTGGTCGGTTAGTATGGTACTTGGACGCTTTCCGTACATTGCTTCTAGAAATGTACCAAACACCCATTTGAAAAAATCTATCGTCTCATCATACATAATGTGAGCACCGAATATCACAATTTGCCTATGCTGGTTAAAACCCACAAATACTCCAAGTAGCCGGTATTCTTTATTTTTTTTGTAGGTTGTGTCGAATGTGACTACGTCTCCAAAAAAGTTGTAGTCAATTAACATTCCTGTATCAGTCCAAAAGATATTCGTTATCTCTTCTTCACAGTCCAGCTGTACGGCATGAAAAAAGGATGGATTCTCCAGTGTTTGCTCTTGAAAATAATTTATCATGCTACCTGCTTCTCCATATTTCAAGCTCCTTTCCCGTCTCGTTCGAAGATATCGTTTAAGATCATCCCGAGTATAATCCACATTACCCATCCCACCTGCCTCCTTTCCCATAAGCTCATGGCTCTGTTTCATTGAAAACCCAGCATCCTCGCTTATTTCACCTTGGAATCCTTGAGCCACACTCACTTTTCTTTGTGATGGCATCATGTGCGCACATTGAGTAATGTGCAACTCATGATTACGCTCTAAGACAAGGTCATGCACACAGTACTTCATTGTCCCTCTAAACAATATGATAACCATTTTAGCTCCACACCCTGTTTTCGTCGGCGCTCGTGTCCTCTTTGGCATCACATCACCTTTGTACTTGCGCTTCACACCTTCCTTGCAGCAACTATATCTCCTAGACGTGGTCACGCTATCTTTGTCTTTATTCAGATAGTTTTTAGATACACTAAAACCCATTTTAAAGGCATACTTCTTGTAAAATTTGTACGCATCCTCTTCACTGTTGAACTCCATTCCTAACTCAGGGGTCCCATCTTCTGTCAATTTGCTGCAATCCATTACTTCTGCTCCTGCCAATTATGCATCAAACACCCTAATTTGCAACACTTCATGAATAGTATGTACATAAACGACAATATAAATGTATATTACCATTCATAATGTGTTATGAATCACACATTACTCGTATACCAAATCCTATTATTATGCTTATCAATATGATTAATGATTCACATCACCTTACTTTTACTCTAAGACAACGGCATTATCTATGTACAAATACAACTCCATGTACACTAACTTATATAGACTGTAATGTATTGGTCACACGATGTAAGTCTAGTTTAACTATATGTACATCCACGCTGGTGATTATATTTTTATTCTAAATTCTTTAGCTCACTGGACCTTATGTCATTCGTTAATGACAATCGCATATGCCAACTCCATATTTTCTACTATTTCTACATTTTGAGGGCCAAACAAGTACTTTCTACTCATTGTAATATATTTCTTACATCATGTAATTTACTTACAACACAAGGTTCACCCATTTATTATTCACATATATGTCTTTTCCTCTGCTTCACCTCATTCTGATCTACACCTCCATTTTATACACACTGCATGGTCAGGAGAGGGACAAGCTAATATTGCCCCATGAGCATGGACCAACTACTACATGCACAATGATCCATATCAATTGTAATACGGTGCCTATAACTTGTAACTAATTTACAACTTTGCTTCTAGAACTCATTTTAAATAGTCTTTGCGTACACTAAAATCCATTTTAAAGGCATATTTATTGTAAAACTTGTACGCATCTTCTTCAGTATTGAACTCCATTCCTAACTTAGGAGTCCCATCTTCTGCTAATTTGCTACAATCCATTACTTCTGCTCCTACCAATTATGTATCAAACACCATAACAGTTCATGAATAATATGTACATAAACAACAACATAAGTGTATATTACCATTCATAATGTGTTATGTTACACACATTACTTGTATACCAAATCCTATTACTACTCCCAATCGATATGATTAATGTTGTATAAATACTCGTATACCAAATCCTATTATACTCTAAGACAACGGCATTATGTATGTACAATACAACTCTGTGTACATTAGGTTATACATACTGTAATGTGTTGGTCACATGATGTAAGTATGTTTTAACTGTATGTTCATCCACTCGGGTGATTATATTTAGGTTCTAGGTACTTTGTTTCACTGGACTTTACGTCATTCGTCAATGACAATCGCCGAAACCAACTCTGCATTTTCTACTATTTCTATATTTTGAGAGTCAAACAAGCATTTTCTACTCATTGTAATATATTTATTACATCATGTAATTTACTTACAATACCAAGTACACCCATTTATTATTCACATAGGTCGGTCTTTTCCTCTGCTTCACCTCATTCAACTCTGTATCTCTATTTTACACACACCGCATGGTCAGGAGAGAGGAGCAAACTAAGATTGTGTCATGAGCATGGACCAATTGCTAGATGCACAATGATTCATATCAATTATAATACAGTGCCTATAACCTGTAACTAATTTACAACAAGATGTACATTCATTCACTTGTTAAATGTGACTTTATTTTTCTCATCTTTCCCTAATTCCGCTTTACTTGAATACTTATCCCTGGGTCTGCCGATAACTACTATTTCATTATAATCCATCGCTAAAAAGTTGAATGCTCACATACACACAGATACTGTGAGAACCCGTAAATTCCTCCTAATATTTTCCTAGGGTTTTTCCCCTTAATGGCATGTTTTCTGCATTTTCTGGCTTAGGAAAAGTTTCTTGGTGAATTTTATGAGTAAATATAGTTTTTAGATGATTTTTCTAGTATCGAATAGGTTTTGAGAATTAAGAGTGTATACCGGATGTGGGACCCGTTAGTGCGAAAAGTTCAGAAAAATTCGGCCAATTAGGTTAAGTTTTGGATACTGGAATTAATTTATCGGGTGTTGTGAGATATTTAGAGGTACCAAGTGGATAGGTGTATGAGAGACAAAAAAGTTAGGCAAGTCATTAAATAAGGTGACAAGTGTCACCATGTGATTGGGTTGAGTTGTCCACAACTATTCACCTTTTGACCTTTTTACCAAATTGGTTAAAATAGCTTAAAATTGACCAAAAATCTTCAAAAAACATCAAGAAGTGGCCGGCCCTCTCTTTCTCCCTTTCTCTCTCTCTTACTCCAACTACAAGGAAGAAAACACTTCAATCTTGTTCCAAATCATCAAAACTAGCCATCCAACCTTGAAATTACTCCATAAAACCTCTTCAATTAGAGTTAGTGAGTGGATTTGTGGAGTTGTTTGGAAAGTTAATGTGGTCAATAGCTCTCTCTCTCTTGTTCTTGAGGTAAGTTGTGAAGAACCACCCCCTCCCTTAATTGATGCTTAAATCATGCTTAGTGGTAGTAAGAGATGCAAGTTTATGGATTATTTCTTGATTTGTGGTTGAAATGATGAAGTTTTATTATTTTTGGGGATTTTTCTGTTTTAATATAAGCATGATTGTGTGGTTATCTATGGTGATTGGAAATGGTCTATAATGACTTAAGGAGGTGGGAAAAGTGATTAATTGCAACCAATTTTTGGTTTGGAAGAAATTTCAGAAAACTAGGGTTCTTGAGGGGGCATTCTGTCCGAAATTTTAGGTCCTAGCTCAAAACATTAAAGTTGTATGGAATGACATTTTAGAGGTGCCTGCAAAATTTCAGGTCAATCGGAGTTGTGTAGAATGAGAAAAGTCGAAATTACTATTGCTGTTCTGGTTTTACCCAAATGTAAGGATTGCGCCTGTAATTGGTTGTTTTGGCTGGAATTGCTTCGGAATTGGTTGTTGAGGCCTTCTGATGAAATTTATCCCTGTTCCTTAGCTTTCAGCTGGTTTTGGAATTTCTGGATTTGGACTTGTAGAGCCTGAGTTATGATGTTTCCGCTAGAATGCGTTTTGGTGAATCTGTTTTACGTTTTTCATGTAGTATCTTGCATTTTTGACCTATTTTCACTCAAAACTGGGTTGAGTGACCTTCTATGATGTTGTATCCCTGTCTTTTAGCTTCGAAATGGTGGGTCTTGCACCCTCATCCGATAATCGTAGTGAAATTGGTGCCATTACCGCAAAACGAGGACAAAAACTGTTTTTTTTAGGGCCAAAGCTAATTACATTTCCAAAATTTCTGGTTTCCTTTAATGTTTGTATATGCTTATGGAACCCTATTGGGGTCATGTTTGGCCTTGGTTTATGACTCGTTATCGAGTCTCATTGTATTTGTTTGCTTGTTTTAGGACGTGACCGTGGTGCACAACGTTCTTTTGACAGAAGTGCATGAAACCACATTTGCGAGCTTGGTGAGTGTACTACTCACTTGTGTGCTATTATATGGGTTTGATATTTGAACTTGAGATGTTGAATGTTAATTGATTGACGTGAGAGTGTACTTTATCACTCTCACTTATTGTTTCGCATGCTATTGGAAAGTTATTGGAATGTTATATGAGATGTTATATGAAATGAAATGCATGACTTGGTGTCGTTTGGACGAGTCTCCAACGACTACAAATGTTATCAATGAGCTCAACCCCATTGGTAATTGATTGAATCGAGCCGGCGAGGGATTGGTCGTGCCAATTAATGTGCCATGGGGCAATGTTATATGGTGTAACAGCCCCACTTTCCCCTAAGGCGAACCAAAGGGGTTAGCGGACTGCCTGCCCAACTCTCGCCAGGACTACGGATCAGTTAACGTCGATCTAATGCGCTCCGGAGCTTACCAACGCGCGCAAATAGGTCAAAATCACAAAATAAAAAAAATGAAAAATCGAAGCCGCAATGAACAGTAGAGGACACATCAGAATCCGGCCGGATTTGGCCCTTTCCTTTTCCAAATTTTTTTTTCTTTTCCGTTTGAAACGCGTATCAGTTCGAAATCCAACCAAGCATCGACCAAACATATATATACATTGGAAACCAGCATTTGCAAGCCAAGACGGCATATCAAATATTCAACTAGTTCATACATGTACAAATAACCATTTACAAGCCAACCATTGGTTGCAACAAAACACTTAGGGTTTTCACCCTCAAGGAGCTATTCAAAATATACATTCACATGAGCTCAACTTGAACCAACTAGCACATTCTTTCCAAAAGTGGTCATTTTCCTGTAAGGAAAACAAATGGCACGGTATGAGCTAAAGCCCAGTGAGCAACAATCACACAAAAGCAGTCAAGATCACATAATCATAACCGTTCAGTTCAAATATGCAATTAAGAGATAAATCAAACCAGTGAAAGGATACGGTTGGCTCTCAAGAGCCCATTTCCACACTTGCAATCTTGATCCAACCTCATTGACCCTCCGTCAATGTTAAAAGTACCAAAACCGTAGACCTCACTTTACTTCCTTTCCTTCCACCAATCATACCCCAACCGGGCCCGCACTCCATTCAGTCACTTTTGATAATACTCGAGTATACCGGAACCAAGAGTCTCATTACTACAAGGTTCCTCAGTACAGTCCCCGTGGCAAGACAATTTTCACGACCAAGCCCTCGCCGGCTCGATCCAATTGACTACCAAACGGGGTTGAGCTCAGTGATACAGTAACGCCGTTGGACATTCATCCAAACGACACCAAATCAGTTTCCATGAGTGGAATTCAGTATTTCATATAACCAGTACAGTATTTCAGTGAACAGTCATTAACCATGAATAAAATCACAAGAGGTGAGGGCGGTCAAGTACACCCTCACCTTAATCACTTCCAATAAGCAAATAAGCCTTCAAGGCATCAATTACACATATAACAAAGCCACATTGTAACATTTAAGTGAGTAGTATACTCACAAATCAAATAAGTGCTATTTCATGCACTTCCGTCAGGGGAATGTCGTGAACCACCGTCACGCCCTAGAACAAGTAAACAAATGCAATGAGACTCGATAACGAGTCATATAGCAATGCCAATCACAACCCCAATAGGGTTTTATAAACATATACAAGCATGATAGCAA